TGTTATCAAAATAGAAATAGAAAGCTGATAAAATGCATGTCATATGAAATGCTAAAATGCTAAGAAAGTGAATGTTATGAGAAATGCTGAGAATATGTATAGATAGTTATAGAGATACACTAAGGATATAGAGTTTGGAGACAATTTAGGAAATCTTGGAAAAATAAAAGTGGTGAATGCTTTAGTAAATGAGTGCACATGATTTGCTAAAAATGAAAGTATCATAGGCCACACACTCATTTCCTAATTAAATTTATGACTACACCTTTATTAAAAAGGGTCAGTGAACACACATTGTATTCGTGTTATTCGGGCTACCCAATGACTGTCTATACTTATGGAAGATCTCAAGGGATCCCAGGGGACAATAACTGTGAATTTGTGAGATGTGTATTGTAATAGGTGAGTCATAACTGATTAATTGGTATAATTATAATACATTAACGGGTGTAATTATAATACATGTATGTAATGCAATAATTAATATAGTTGTAACGCACTTATTATGACACACTGTTCGATGTGAAAATGCATGAAGTGATATGAACCTAGTGTACGTTCGAAAGTAATGATGATATGATGGATAATTTGTTGATCTATTGTAATATTTGTTAATATAATGTATGATTTGGTATTATTTCAGTGTATATTGTGTAATTTAAAGTATAAATAATATGATTGTTGCTACCATGATTTTGTTAATGTAATATGGAAACTAATACTATTTAATGTATTTCGCACTAATTTACGTTCCTGTATTATTATTTTTAAATAATTTATAAATAAAGAAATTAGTGAGGTGGGAATACTAGGAAATGCTAAATTGAAGAAGTTAAAAAAGGTTAATTCGATCTAGAATCATACTCTCAATAAGTCTATAAAGAGAAATTGCTTTGATAGTGTTTAAATTAATTGGATGATTGTCATAATTTCGATCAAGTTTTTATTCAAAGTTGACAAGAATATGTAATTACTTTCATATTATTTATTACAAATGTACAATACTTAGATAAGATTGATTGTAATTAATATTTAGAAATGTATATGTAATATTGTTAGTTAGTTATTTTATTAAAATTTACAATAAGTTGTTGAGAGACAATGTTGATTGTGTTTTAAACTTATATATATGTAATGTGAACTAAATAACTTGTTAGATGAAGATTTTTTTTACTCTAACTATAAATTGAAAATTTTGAAATTTATTCTTTTAGAAACTTTTGAACACTTCAGGTTTTCATAAATTGATTGATATAAATTTAAAATTTTCTTTTATTTAATTCTTTAAGTCATAAACATAAAGAACTTCAATTTTTTTTTTATTATTCATTATAAATTATTATTCATGTTAAGTAGAAAATTAAAGACATTACAACTTGGTACTGAATGACTCCGTACTTCTTCTAGACTCATAAATATTCTTTGAAGTCTCTCCACGTCTAATATAATATATAAACTCAAAATTCAATCTTGTGTTATATGATTTTATTAAATTTAAATTTTTTAAAAGTAAAATTTTTTATTATTAATAAATAATCACTTTCTATATAAAATATGAGTATCATTCTTGTTTTAATAGAAGTCATCATTTTTAAATTTTTATTCAAAAATTAATTTAATTTACATAGATAATACAAAAAATTTACTGCCACAAAGCACATAAATTAAGTGGCAAAGGAATATTTTAGTTTAACTTATAATCTTAAGTTTAAGTCTTAATGTATTAAATATTTGAAGGAAGAATTTTGTTATTCATAATAGTCCTTAACAACCAAAAGAGTACAAAAAATTCATTAGTTTTATAATATTGATTAAGACTAAAATAAAATAAAAAAATATTTTTAAAAATTAGCAAAAAAATCATGAAAAAATTGAATTAAAAAAATAAATAAATGTTGGATGCAAGAAAAGTTATATGATATAATGAAAAAAAAAAAATTCTTCCAATAGGTAATTTTATTTAAAAATACTCTATTTAAAAATTAAGACTCACATTTTTAATTTATAAATTTAGATTAAGTTGAATTGACAAAAAATAATTTATATAATTTTATAAATAAAATTAAGTCAAGATAGATACAACTTAATTAAAAAGATAAAAAAATTGACTAAATAAATTTGATCTCTTAATTTTTAATTTTATTGCGGTTTCTCTCTTTAATTTTTTTTTAGTCCTTTAACTTAAACAAGCTTTTTAAATAAGTATTTTTTTTTTATAAAAAAAAACATATCAGTCATAAAAAAAAAAAAAATTAACTTGTGTTGATAGTAAAAATAGATAGAACATTAACTTCTCACCTGATAGGACCAATTATCACTTTTACTCTTTTAAATTAATTATTTCTACCCTAAACTCACTTCTCTTGATGGTGAAAATAAATCAAACAAAAATTATACAAACAAAATGAATTCTTTTCACACAACTTTAATGCCAAAAAGCTATTAGCCTCTTCTTCAATATACACGTGTGTGAATCTCTCAGCATATTTATCGAATAAAAATGGTCGATTTGTTTTAGGCCAATAACAGAAAATATTGATCTTCTAAAAGTTAATTTTTTTTCAATTGAACAAAAGAAATTACATCCTTATCAATATTTTCTTTTTGATTTCTTCTCTATGTTTTTTTTTCTACTCCAAACAAAAAAATTTGAACCAAATGGAGTTAAAGTCACAGCTTTCCCACATAAGTAGACCCCCAATTCAAAACTAAAATAGCCCACACAAGTAGACCCCCGATTCAAAACCAAAATAATGTATACTACAGATCATTAATAGTTGTTAGAATAAGTGTGAATTCATCCCACATGAAATGAGGTAGGGGAGTTTTAGCTAGGGAGCCTCACTAAGACACTATAATACAACCTTAAAACCTTAAGGCAATGAGTACATGGATCTATCTCCTTATAAACTCCTAACTTGCCCATAGCTCATTTCATGTGAGACTAATTCACATTTGATTCTAACACTCCCCCTCAAGTGTGAATGTATCTATTCCATATCGGCCCCCTCCACAATAGAAGTTTTCTCCATCACGAGTATCCATGGTCTACATCAAAGCAACCATTGCTCTCTTCCACGTGAACTGTCGTCTACTCAATGACACTTTTTGGACTCCACACCTTGCTCTCTTCCATGTGGATTGTCGTCCATTCAACGACACTTTTTAGGCTCTACACCCTTTGCATGTGGGTGCCACTAGCTCTCTGCTAGGGCTCATCTAGTGTCATTATTTCCTCCATAGTGCACAGCCCACTCGACAAAACTTTTTGGGCTCCACACCTTTTGCACGTGGATGCCACTAGCTCTCTGCTAGAGCTCATTTAGTGTCACCGTTTCTTCTACTATGCACTCTCATACTGACTATGACTGCCACACCATTGACTCTTTCTGCTGCAACTCATCTATTTGTCTGAGCCGGTCACCTAGATTAACCCAATTCTGATATCACTGTTGGAAGTAGGGTTTTTAGATAGGGAGTATCACAATGAGTAAGACACCACAATGCAATCTCAAAACCTTAAGGCAATGGATACAAAGGTTCATCTCCTTATAGATTCCAAACTTGACCATATCCCATTTCATATGACACTAATTTACACTTTGACTCCAACAATAGTAAACAATGCACGGTAATAAAGCATGGATCACATGTTAAAATGGTAAAATTTTACCACATAGGCGAAAAGTAATATCTAACCTAAGTTCGATATAAATGCACAATCTAAAACATCATAAGTGAATATCCATTTTATCCTTAGTAAACTGTGTCTCGAACTTTAGATAGAATTAAGTTTGAATTTTCTACTCAGTGATCATTTTATGTGTTTGCACATGATTGAGAAAGATACATTATTAGAGGAGATTATAAGTTGTTGTGATATGTACAACTTATTATAGCTATATTTGTAATGCATGAAAGAACTGAATTTGCTTAAAAGCTTGCAAAATCCAAAGGTTTATTTTTGTATAATCATGTCTGTTTAGACTATTCTACCACTATGCAAATATGACAACAAACATACACAGCATGTAAACATACTAATTGTTAAGAATTAAAAATTTTCTGACAAGAAACATTACATGAAACCTCATCAATTTATCACAAACATTCTAGTCCTTCTGGTATCTTATAGCATGTCAATTATTTATTGTGCTATTTGATAATGTTGGTTTTTTTTTTTTACTCTAGTGTAGACATTCTCACCTATTTGTAAGATGTCTTAAATCTTTAACAAAATAATTAAAAAATATATACTAATTTTGCTTGCTTAAAGAGACCTATTATTCACAACATTGCACTTGCACAAATTTTTTTTTTCAATGTTCCATCTAACTACATCTTTTTCCTTTCTTTCTTGGCATATCATCATTAGTTAGATCATTTTTGTGAAACCATGAGTTTGACATGCAATAAAGCAAAAGAAAAAGGTAGGTAGTCTGAAATAGTATATTTATTGCTTAAAAAAAATATACTAATCCTTTCATTTATATAAATTACTTGAACAAAAGCAAAAATAATTTTTTCTTGAGGATGTAAACGAAATCGGTAGGTAGGTTCACGAAAAATAAACCTAGACTAAGATGCTATGATGATGTTAGAAATTTTGTTGTGCAAAAAGTTATCGAAGTTATCAAAGTAAGAAGGTTGTGTTAGTTTTAGTTTATTTAATTTATTTTTAAACTCCTAAATTACACTTTGATAAGCATTCAAAATTTTAATTTGAAGTTCCCTTATTTTTTATAATTCTTTATAATGTTGATTAGAAATCTTTCTAACCTCACGATCACTTTCTATCAAATACATAACTACACTTAATAGTTGGCATACACATACAATATATATCCTTACAAAAATAAAAGAAAACAAGTACAAATATAGATATATAAATATGCATGTAATAAATGCAATTCAGCACCTCGAATAATACAAATTTATATAAATAAATATATAGATAATGTCATTTGATGTAATTTTTCAAACAAGATGGCTAAATTTGTCAAATCATTATAATTATTTTCAAGGACAGTTCATAAAAGTTATTTCCAGCATGTTTAACGATCACTTCAGATTACAATGATAAAGAAGCAAACAATGAAAAAAGACAATGCATTTAGCTAACTTACTTTTCTAAAGATACTACAAAATCCAGAGCTAGGCAACAAGAACATGGGAAGCTCTAAAATAAATTGGAATCACTTATTCCGAAAAGCTAAAGAAAGGCAGAATGGAAAACTACTGCCAAAACTTACATTTGACATAGAATTAATAATCACACTGACAGCCTAGTCAAGCCACCAATGACTACAACATTGTTAGTTGCAGAAATACACTCATCCTCAATAAATGGAATTGTTTTCCTTATGGTCAAATTTATTGGAATGTCCCCTTTTCCTGCAACACAAACATTAGGCTGAAGTGACTCGTGGAATTGTTGGGCCCACAAATGGCCACAGCTACAAAAATGGCTACATCTAAGTGTGACAAAAAAAGTTCAACATGCAGGCTAGCAACCACATGTGCAATTATGAAGGGAATGTTGTGCATTTAGCATTAATGCAATATACTCCTTATAACATAAAATAAGACTTGCTACCTGTATTCATCCTGTCCTGTTCTATACAAACAGCAGCATAATGAGAACCAGCCAACTCCAGAAGCACAAACTGCCAATTGCTTGACAGATTCTTCAGGTCATCATCAGAAGGTTCAACAGTAATGTCAGGTATCTGTCAACAAAATAAAATGCTAAAGGCAGACAAAACCAATAAATCACGTGGTAAAATTTAATATGCTAATACTGAAGAAGGATTTATGCAGTTTACTGCAATGGTGGCTTGAGTATTGGCCAACATATTTTTATAGCACGTGCCCATATGACAGAACTTTCCTTCAGAAGAAGAATACATTCTCATCAAATAACATTTCTAATTTAAAGCTCTCTATATTTCAAACAAACTTTGTAAGAGTGAGGCATACCTTAGAAATCATATGAGGTGGAGTGTGAATGCCTCCTTCCATATGGTTTCTTAATTGAATAGTAAAAGTCTTAAAAGGTGAAGCTGAGAAGCCCTTCCCTAGTGCTTTTACGTATGCCTCCTATAAATGGGAAATGCCTCTGTAAGTGAAAGCTACAGAATCGCAAAACATGGATTGAATTTCAACTTGTAACAACGACAAGTTATGCTGACTAACTATATTACCCTTATAAAAGTTGTAGAACAGAAAGTTTTGAAGGAACTTTATGCATACTACATATTGCATTGCTCACTTGAATACTTTGAATAAAAACTAAGGAACTTGTAAACAAATCAAAATCTAAAAAGGGATTTTAGTCATCTCCTGTGAGAGAAAACTACAAACCTTACTCTTCTTGGAGCTAACAAAAAAGGAACGAATCATCTAGACACCTTTGAAAAATATTATATAAATTTGCATTTTACCCATTGAGAATGTTTTCCAAGTAATTTCAGTTCCATAATAATATGGATATGTATTACCAATATCTTCAAAGATAAAGTAGAATCTTTAACTTGTTCAGTACTCCAATACCTCATTACTTTCAAAAAGTAAATAATGCTTTAAGAAAATAATTTTTTTATGAGGCTAAATTAAAAAATATTACTTAAATTTTCTGAAGATAATAGTTCAAAGAATAATATATTTCACACCTAACTCTCAACTAAGAAATAAAAGTGCAACCCAATAGCAATAGAACATTAGATATATTAATTAACCTTCAGAGTCCATAATTTTATAAACTCCTGACGCTGAAGTTCAGGGTCTGCAATGCGAGTCAGCATTTCTGTTTCATGGGGAGAAAGGTATCGCCGTGCAAAGGTTAAAATATTGTTCTTTAATGTCCTTTGCTTTTCTTCCACATCAATACCAATCTATAACAAGAAAGGCAAGTTAAATAAATTCAAAGAAGATGGTCTTCAGCAAGAAAAATGACAATAAGAAAAATAAAATAAAACTAGAAGAGAAATAACAACCCATTTGCGGCTAAATAAATAAATAACTTCTGTGTAAGAATAGTAAATACATACAGGTGAACCCACAGTTACTCCACAAGCTATCAAAGACGAAGTATGTGAGATATTAAAATGCAGTGGTGGTAAGCTCCAATCATCAGTGTATAGCCAGTCCACCTATTCCAATATGCCACTACAAATGTTAAGTGTTTACCAAAAAAACAATCTCCATGAACAATACATAGCAATTATGGAAGAAAAAAGTGATCATACAGACGCTGCACGTAATGCATGAGCAATTTAAAAACACACCTCAGGCTTGCCATAGTTGTTTGTCCTAAACTTTAAAGACTTTGGATCAATCTGACAGTTCATCTGATCTAGCAGTAAATAATATGGTTTAGATATATGATCTCTGTCATGATATAGAAAGATCAAACCAAATGAAGCAGAACAGGAAGAATAAACAGATTACAAAGTAACCACAACAGATAGTTCTGTACAAAGAATGGTCCATGAATCATGTAGGCTTATGTGTCAGCCATGTAAAAAACTAATCAAATCATGTTAAAGCTGTTATTAAGGTAAAAAGTTGCAAAAAGTGGTTGATTCCAGATGAAACAGGAAGCCATGTCAAAACGAGTGCTATACAAAATTGTCACTAGAAAAATGAGTCAGGTACAAGACACTGCTAAATAATTGTACACACAGTGCCTTCGCAAAATATTTGCCAATCCTACATAGCACTGATCCATATCATTGAAATTCAACAAAGTTTTATGTTGGCTATCAACTGCCTAACATGACCCTCCCCCTTTTTATCCAGGCTTGGGACTGGCTACATTAAAACTTTGCAACAACAACATAGGCAGATTTCAACACTGATTCCAAAACATAAAAAGTAAAAATAAAGAGCAAGAAATATGTATGTGATTAAGAGATATTCAGCCAACTCAAAAGCCTAATCTTGCTAGTTGCTGTGGTAGTATCACTATTAACCACTATGTGACATCCACAAGGTTTGGGTCTATTAAATACTAAATTGTAACTGAAAATATAAATGAGTTACATATAGGAACAGTGTTATACAAATGATGAACAAGGAAGAATAAAGACAATAACTCAGCGCCAAAATACTAAACTTCACTTACATCTTGCTAATGTCGTCCGGACCAACACACGAGCAAGGAGTGCTCTCTTCTTCAGCTGTTCTCCACGCATGTGAAATACATTTTCTTTTTCACAAGGTGATACAATTTCTAAATACCGGTTTAATAGTTTTGTACTCTTCACTTCATCAGGTAAAACATACCAAAAATGAGCTTCCCTACATTCCAGCATAAGGAAAATAGTTATTCACCTAATACATTAAATAACATTTTGGACGATACATAAGCAACATATGACTACTTAAAATAGAAATGACATCCACAAACGATACTAACATAAAGTTCTTTTAAATTAAAAACAAAAATCTAATTGTACAAAAAAACACGTCAATGGTGCACAGTATAGAAACAAGCAGTTAGATGGTCAAGATAGTGAAATACTTTTGTGCTGGGAGTTGCACAAGGGGCAAAGAGGATGACGCAGTGATGAGTGTCCTTCCAAAGCAATTCATATTCATCATTAACCGTGCTTTGTCTTGAAACAACGTCATTCACGCACAGTATCAAGCATCCTTGGTGCTGTCTTCTAAATTAGTTATGCATGACAGTAAATAGATAAATCCTGGGAAACATAGAAATACTAGTGAGATGACAGAACGTATATGTACAACTCAAGCATGGTAGTGTTTGATTAAGGAAAAAAAACAGCCTAAGATAGATATGTTTCATTCACAAATTGCATCAAGTTTAGGTTTCCTCATAAAGTAAATATATATTTAGGGAATTTAACCAAAAAATCGGGAATAAATAAAAGGGGAAAAACTAATTCAGAAGTTTGTGGCTACGAATTGAGCGAAAAGGAAGAAACAGAGCAACCTTAAAGTGAAAGATAAGTAGTGCCTTATAATAAACTAGGGGAAGAGAAATGGTGCTACCTGCCTCTCGAAACTCTCTTCTAACATCAGAAGAAAATTCCAGGAGTGAACCAATTTGTTCCTGTCTCTCATATTCATATACTGGGCTAAGAGAAACCACAGATTTCTTTCTTTTGAAATCTAAAACCAGAAAACATAATAATGAGAAAAAGGGAAAACGAACTGGGAGCTAAATGCCTTGGGAACAGGCAATTATGACAAAAAGAGGAAGATATAGAGAAAACTGCTTTTAGAACACATGAAGGCCACTATGAGTTCTTGGTCATGCTGTTTGGATTGACCAATGCACCCTCCATATTTCAATCCCTTTTGAATGAGGTACTTAGGCCCTTTTAAAGAAAAATATGTATTTGTTTTCTTTGACCACATTCTTGTGTTTAGCTCCTCTGTGGAGTTACATGTCTAGCACTTGAGAGATGTACTTAAGGTGCTCTAGTCGCGGTATTATTATAGGAAGTAAGATCATTAGCATTTTGGAGTCACACTTTGTCAAAAAGAGGACAAACCAAATCTGTATATTAAAGAGAATTGATGGCAGTAGTTCAAGTGGCACAGAAGTGGAAACATTACTTGATGGACAGGTGTTTTGTTATTATCACTGACCAAAAGAGCCTTAAACTTCTCACTGAACGGCATTTGTTGACTTAAGAACAATTTAAATAGACTTCCAAGCTCATCATATTCAATTTTGAAATACAATATAGGCCTGAGAAGGAAAATAAAACAGCTAATGTTCTTTCTCAGAAGACTGCCATGATAATTTTACAAATAGAAAAGTGGGAGGATTGGGAACTGGAAATTCAAAAGGATTTTCAATTGTATGCATTAATGCAAGACTTGGTGGTGGATCCTAGAGCACGTACAAACTATGAGTTATGAGGGGGACGACTATATTACCTTGGACAGCTAGTATTACCAAGGCATTTTCCGCAAATCCAAGAAATCATAAGGGAATTACATGCATCCCATACTGGTGGTCATGCTAGATATTTTAGAACATTTAAGAGGATAACTGGTGTTTTATACTGGAAAGGAATGAGGTCAGATATCAAGGAGTTTGTGATGCAATGTGAGATTTGCCAATAAAATTAGAATGAGGCTCTTGCTCCTACAGGGTTGTGACAACCATTGTCCTTTCTTACACAGGTTTGGTCGGATATATTGATGGATTTCATTAGAGGATTACTCAAGGATAAAGGAAAGGGCACCCTCTTAGTATTGGTGGAGAGACTCACCAAATATGCCTTCTTTCTAGCCCTCACTTACTGTTACTTTTTTGCTGATGTGGCTCAGGTTTTTTGCGCGAGAAATTGTCAAACTCCACAGGTTCCCCTCAACTATAGTCACTAATCAGGATTAGGTCTTCCTTAGTACCTTTTGGAAAGAATTGTTCAAGTACATTGGCACAAAACTAAAAATTAGTACACCTTACTCCCCCAAATTGGTGAATGTACATGATAGGGTTGGAGCGCAAGAGTTAGGGGGATTGGTTGAGTTGAGTTGAGTTGAGTTTTGGTTCAACACGAATTATAGTGCTGCTACGAAGATGACCCCATTTAAGGTGTTATGCGGACATAATTCCTTCTTTGCTTTTGAAGGGCAATACTATTCAATCTAAAGAGGATAGCATGAATCAATTGCAACAACAACGGATGAAGTATTGAAAGATTTAAGAGGCAATTTGTGCAAGACAAAGGACCAAAATAAGTTGTAGGCCAATAAACACAGACATGAGATGGTTTATCAAGTGGGTGATGGTTTATCAAGTGGGTGATTGAGTTTTCTTTGAAATTGCAACCATACAGGTTAGATCACAGCTAAGAGACCAAATGCTAAATAAATATAACTTTTTAAGCATGGACTTGGGAGAAAGTATTTTTTGACAATAGTTAGTTTGCAGAGTCCTTTCAGATGAGGCCCAATTAATACTTTCTTCCTTTCATTACATATCTTGTAATGACTTTCCCAGGTCCCACTTGATTTTCCAAAAACAAAACTTATTTATCTAACTGGTAATGCAGCCTAAGGAAAAAGAACAAAATAATCATGGAACTATCTAAGCCTATGATTTTAATAAATATTTGTACTCAAACTTAATTTAAAAATAATATAAACAAAATCTTTAATAAAATTTAAGGTGAAATTAGTAGACAAACAACATTAAAACAAGCTGTTCATCTGTGGATCCACCTCAGCAGTTGTCTGGCTGCCTGCTGACAAATCAGCTCTTATTTTATGCACCGTAGCTCAAAGGCCACTCTAAATAATCAAAGAGACCTATGATACACAGTGCAAGGCAAAAAAATTTATCAATTTCAATCATCTGAAAATTTGTGGAACTGCAATTACTTTAAAAAATAAGGAGAAAAGGAATTCAACGAAGAAATAATAATAATAATATCAACTAAGGCGCCTTAACCCAGAAAGGATCTACTCCTAATTCAACCCAAAGTGAGAATGTTGAACATAGAACTGTCAAAAAGCCCGATTGGCCCAGTCCTATCCCTAACCCATGTAGGTTAGGGCCAAAAAGCCCACTAAATAAAAAGCCCTATGGGCAAAAAATCTCAAAGGGCCAAGGTTAGGGTTAGGGCTAGGGCTTTATGGGTAAAAAAAAATTACTGATCTTAAAAGAGTAACTGAACATGACATACAAAAAAGGCACATTCTATTAAGTTGTACCCTATAATATTCATCAGCAACTAGACCAAACCAAAAACAAATCAACAATGCTACAAGGTACAAAATCTTATTTTCTATAAGCTTGGTCCCCATATACGAATTGTATAATAATCACTTGCAGATGCTAACATTTGCGGCCATTTAGGATTCCGATTCACACTATTCACATTCAATTAGAGGGTCACATTTAATAATACCATATTTTCTGCATGTTTTCATGTTTAAATTCAAAAAAAAATCCAGGGCAACAATGTAAAATACTGCTGGAAAATTTAAAAATAACTATGAGTCAGAGAAGGAAAGCTCACGTCTCTTTTGTCACTGTTCTAAATGAATGCACAAATGCAGGTCAGATATCATCCAATAATTGATCTGATGGAGCCTGGAGGTTGTACGTATGCTGTTTGCATCAAAAGCTCAACCAAATGGCTTCTGTGAAAAGGAGGAGAGGTTACTGTCTTATTAACAAGCAAATAAAATAAAATAAAAAACTTCAAATAAACAAAGAAGGCAACAAGCACCACTATATAAACAATGTTGTTTTGTGTGCTCCACCTAATCATATATATATATATATATAGACTGTATGCAATTATATTATTCAATGTTTTTAAGTTAATTAAATCTGTATAAATTTTAAATTGAATAATTTTTTTTATTAATTTTATTGAACTTAATAACTTTGTGTTATCCAATTTTTATCTAAATATTTGGAGGTTTATAATAGATTTGAGAAATAAATTAGGCATAAAAGTTTAAAAGTAAACTATTTGATAGAAAATGAAGGATTTATGCAATTTGAAATTACAGCTTGAAGAGGAAAAAGTTAAAATTTTAATATTTTAAAAAACTGAAATTTGACAAAAATACCAAATAATTTATGTAATTTTAAAAATAGAGAGAACAAATCATAAAAATCAGATAGAAGAAAGGCATTTGACAGTTAAACACCTGAAAGGCATTTCTCAGGGTATGACACAAGTAGAACATCTTCAAGCCTACGTACTGGATAGCATGCACAATTGCACATGCTCACTGGTTTGCAAAATCATTTTACAAGAATACATGTCCAAAGAAAGATTACTAAAACTACTCAAAATCAGCATACTTCAATTCACTTAATTTTAATTATATAACATATACAACAACCTGCATATGAAGCAAAAAGTCAAATGCATGTGAACCAAGCGATAAGCCTTAAAAACACTGCAAATTGATTCCTCTAATCAGATAACACAGGCACTAAGCTGACACCCTCCCTTCCCCTAGAAAAGCCAAAGTTATAAAATGGAAAGTTGAGAAATTACAACAGCAACAAAAATTATAAAGGGGTTTGTGCCTAAATGAGCCTTACAAATCTTCAGGAAAAGGGGAATTTTCAAATCAAACACAAAATTTACCAGAAAAAGAAACCCAAGGCCTACATGGGAGAAATAGAAAGTACAAGAAAAACTAAACAAACCCCAAAACCCACATCACCCTCTAGGTACCATCATTAGTAGGTAATAGAAAAAAGAGAGAGAACCCTCTAACTCAGAGATTCCCCAACGAATATGCAGTCCTTGGCCCTTGCAATTGAAGTTATAGATTAAAACTTGTCCCCTTCAACCCCATAACCAATCATCAACAAAACCACACGACACTTAATCAGAAGAAATAAAGGAAGGAAAACGCAGAAGCATATATATAATGCCACCTTCAGACAAAAAAAACACCATATGGATTTTACCTTAGATTCATTTAGGTTGACTTCATTACTGCCAGTCATGTCTTTTTTCCCTCTCTTAAATCCACAGCAAAAACACTAAACCAAATCCACAGAAACATGCTTAAAGAGAAACACTGATCCCCACACTCATGATAACCAACCCCTTAGGCCGCCTCATAATAACAATAATGGAAAAATATATATAAGAGAAAATGAAAATGATTAAAGTAACGTGGGGAGAAGAACCAGAGTAAAAAACAGTTAAGGGTATCTATTCCTTTGGATTGAAGAAACCAACTTAAGGAAAAGCAACATTAAACCAATTCGTAGTCTGTGCCTCACTTGATATCAAACACTAACACTTATTTGAAACTTAGCAATAACAAATTCACAGGACACGAATTAACTATAAATCACAGAAAAAAAAAAAAAAGAGATTCATTAAGATTAGGGAAATTGAAAATAGGATTGGGATTAAGACTAATCTTACCAAAAAATAGAAGCTGCAAACGAGACATCTCACAAATTTTTCAGAAATCAAAATTGCTGCAGCAATTGCAAAGAGATAGGAATTAGGGTTCTTTTTTCTCCCCCATTGTGCGTTACTCCAATAGCAAGGAGACAACATAAAAAAATAGAAATTGTGTTTTTTGGGGATCACGGCTAACCCACAAATATCCCTACCCTCCCTAACTCACATATTTTGGGTTAAACAATTTAGGGCTTACTAATTTCTTTTAATAATAACAGGGTCAGAACTGGATGGATTATTTCAAAGCTGAGCTTTGGGCTAAAAGCCCTTTTTGACAGCACTACTTTTATCATCATTTTTATGACTATTAAACCAATGGATTAAGATTCCATCAAGCCCACACGCAAACTTGACGCAAGGTTTTTACAATGAATTTAAAAAACAAATACTAACCCATTTGAACTCAACCATTCAAAAAATTAATAAAGTAGAAGAACAAAAATGTGTTCCCTGTTCGTTGAATCTGAATGTAGATGAAAAAGAAAGGGTTTCTAATGCAATGATGACTCTGATTCAAGCTTGGAACAGTTTTGAATTCGGAATCTAAGCCACTACAATGTGTAGTTCTGCTAATCCTTAATAGATAATTCTGTAGTTGTTATTGCTGATACAAACATAAGTAATGTCATTTTACTGCAAGTAACAATAGCCTAACGAGCTTGGTGTGGTGCATAAGCATAGCATAGAGGAAGGTGATACTCCTTATAGTTTGAAAGAGAGTTTGGATGATGTGGCTCTTAAACATAATGAAAACCACAAAAATACACAACAAAATACACATATGTAAAAGGGATCAAGGAATCAAAAGATTCATCAATCGTTATGTAATTAACGAGGTAAAGCAAAAAGAATATGGCATTCAGTGTAAACTACAAAAGACTAAAATTGAGATGCTAAAACCAATGTGGGTTAAAAGGGTTCCAGTGCTTTACTTGGCAGATTGGATTATACAACTTTCCCTTCCAAAATCTGGCAACGTGGAATCTTAAGCGGAAAAATTGGATGATCCTGAGAGGAGAATCCAGAGTGTTTATCATCAAAATTCTCCAAAAGACAAAGCAAGCCAAGAAAATCAAAGCAAGCCCCGAATTGGCAAATAGAAAACCTCCTTTCGTGTGTGCAGCTAGGGAGAGAACGGGAGAGAGTGTGTCTTAGAAAATGTGTGATGACGGAAGAAAAAGAGTGTTGTGGGTGAGGGAGAGAACGGAAAAATATGTCCGTCTTCGTTAGGAATTTGTTATAAAATTCTGTTATTATTTATTTTTCATTAACTTTTATTAAAAAATATTTAATTGATCGTTATTAAATTATTTTTATATTAGAAGAGAAAGTTTATTTTATTTTTTATAAGAATTTTGTTTTATTTTTTTAATTTAAAAGATTATCATTTATCTTAATTAATTTTTTATTTTTTAAATCACTTTAAAATATTTATATTCTTTTATTTAATTTATTGTGTGAATAATTTACAAATAATAAAATTATAATATTTTAATGTACTTTAATATATTATAATGGTAAAATAAAAAAAATATCACGATTCTAAAATTTTTTTAAAAATTTTGAGAGAATAAGATTATTTAAATAATGAGATTTTAAAGTTAAACTAAATTATTTGGCATAAAGTGCTTATTTGATATTAATAATATATTATTTTAAATTTATTTTATACAATGAAATGATATTATTGTTCATACTATTTATTTAATCATATTTTTGAACGTGTTTCATCATTATATGATATTATATTTTTATCATTTGATGATATTTAAAATTTTCTGTGTTAATTTTGTTTAAATAAAAGAATAGAACAAGACATAATAGTTTTGTTTTAGCTTTACTTACAATTTATTTATTTATTTTTTATTAGATAATATAAAGAATTTATATTTTATATTATCATAAAGGAGTAAAAAAATGACTCATTTTGTCAAGGTAAAGTAAAAGGAAAATGTTTTCATTAAAAGTAGTAAAAGAAGAGAAAAATGCCTTCATTAATAAGTATTTTTATTGTTAGGTATGGTATTTGGGTATTACGTGGAAAATATGAGATTCTAATGTGAAATTTATAATGGTCCAACTACAACAAAAGTTAGAGATGCAACAATAGCATAATTTTTGCCATGAAGCACAAAAATGAGATGTGTCCCAAAATCCAGTGAAGTGAAACCTTTCTAGTATTGTCTCATTCTTATAATTTATTCAAAAGCATCAAGGATGATTGTCTAGAAAGGGGATACACATCCATAAAAAAAATTGATATGCTACAAACTTTATATATGCCCTGTAAATTTCATCTTGGTGATTAATAGGTTAATCTCCAAATTTGTGAATGCTTTTCAAGATTACATATCAAAGTATTAATATCAAAAAAAAATTATTTAATTCTTATAATTTTGATAGGTTGATCGGTAGTTTGTATTGCAGGTTTGGTTAATAACATTTTCAATATTACTTATTAAATTTAAATTTATTATACTGTAGTTTATTTTATCACCTATCTTTTCTTTTCTCTTAAAAAACGAGTTTATAGTTTTTTCTTAAACATATCTAAAGCTCAACCTAAAAAAATTGCATATTTTAACATCAAAATAAAACATCATAATACATTAAAACAACTAACTAATTAATAGCAAATAAAAAAGTTGTATCTATATTTCATATTTCTATACTACACATGCTAATATGTATAATAGTACACATGCTAAGGAAAAATATCATGAATATCTTCCTTGTCTTTAAACTTTTTGTCTTTTAGTTTCTAATACTTCACATCTCCATCAATAACATGAAAATTTCTTTCTAGCAAAGCAACTCATCAAAACGTGAAAAAACTAAGAAAAAAATGTTATGTATGTTATGTTTATTGTTTTGTTCTAATAGTGAAAGAGAAGAGTGGTAATGAGTAGAGTAGAAAAACTTATCAAAGAAATTTGTTTTTACTTACATAACTACTATTAGAAGATAGCTTGGCCAACACAAAGGATGCATATCACAAATGTCTATCATTATCACTTTTTCAATGAAATTGGGTAATATATATATATATATATATACCATGACATCTTCTAACTCTTCCATAGTTTTATCGACCGACATAATTGATGAACTTTTAAGACTCAACCAAAAAAACTTATTAAAAAAAGAATTTTTATTTTTGTTTAAGTTCAAAGGGAGAATAGGTATGAATAAAAGAGATAGAAAGAGAAAGAAAAAATATAATATTTTTATTAGAGTTTAAAGTGTTAGAAATTAGTTAAGACTGTTAGTAGTTAGTTAGTTCTATCAGAGTCATAGTACCCATCATGAGCTTCTGATTCTATTAGGCACTCTACGGAGAGAAAATCTCACTCTCTCTTTTATTATTATTATATAAACCGATCCTTCCCATTGTCTTCTTTTTTTTTTCTCTTCCAACACATTTGCCATCCCTCTCTCTCTCCCTCATATACGCACACACCAATGAACTACGAGTGGGTGAGGATGGTCATGATGGACAACACTGTCGTCGACCTTCTACTGCTTCTCAAGCACATTGTTTCGTCTAAACTTCAACTTATGCCTTTCTCTTGGGGCCTCAAACAGCCACGCTCAAGATCGAGGCTAATTGTCGTCGTCTTTCATTGCGACACCGCCTTTTCAACCAGATGCAGCCCAATCACTCCTCTCTCTTGGAGCGACAACGCCTCTCCTTCCGCCACAGCCGATGGTTACGAAGACTCCAGCCGTAACCATTATGCTGCCAGATCCAAGGGACTCAGTTTGGAGGAAAGGTTATTTTTTGTAATATGCCATGATTGTATACTCTATTTTTTATTTTTTTCCAGAGCCAAGAAGGAGGATTTCTTCCTATTCTTGCTTTACTTGCTTGAGAGATCCATGGTCACCAATTAGAAACGTTGGCTTCGACTGTGTTTCTGTAATCGCTACTTCAATGTGGACCCTTGTCTTGCACTCTGGATTACTAAAGCCTTTCTGTTTTGAATCATTTTTTTTCTCTGATGATATGAAATTGATTCCATATGTTTCAATGGATCAATTTTCTTTTAACAAGATTTATCATTCTTAGCTTGCAATTTTTGAAATTGTGAGTAATTAGTCTTACTTGTGTATACTCTTTTGCTCTATGATGATTGATGCATCAAAGAAGTTTGATATATTGCCTACAAGTTTTTCTGCATTTGGTTATTGCTAAGTCCTTTCTATATCCATCCAAATGAAAGTCCTACCACAATCATTGTTTCACCAGTCCTTTTGGGTGAAAATTATCATTCATGGGCGTATGATGAGGAGAGTTCTTGCTTCAAATAATAAATATAGATTTGTCAATAGCACCATTGACATTCCAAAATCAACCGATTTATTACAGGAAGCATGGAAGCGCTACAACAATTTGGTACTTTCTTGGATTATTAATTCAGTGCAACATCAATTGCACAAAGTATTGTGTATATTGAGAATGCAGTAGATGCTTGGAATGATTTAAAAGAGCGGTTCTCACAGGGTGATTTGATTCGAGTATCTGAATTGCAACAAGAAGTATATGTTTTACGACAAGGAGCATCTTTAGCTATAGATTTCTTTATAGAAATGAAGGTTTTATAGGAGGAATTGGAACACTATAGACCCCTTCCTCAATGCTCTTGTGCAGTAACTTGTATATGTGCATCAATGCAAAATTCTCAATTGTTCAGACAACAAGATTATGTGATGTGATTCTTGACAGGATTAAATGAGCAATATGCAAATCTACGATCTCAGGTCTTGCTTATGAACTCACTTCCTAGTCTCAACCGTGTTTTCTCTATGGTGTTGCAACAAGAAAGACAATTTGGAACACTATTAAATTTGGACAATGATGAAAAGATTGTTATTGATGCAGCTGAAGGGCATTGTTTTAGTTCTACTCGAGGACGTGGTTATCACTCCAAATCTTTTGGTAGGGGTAACAATAAGATTTGTGTATATTGTGGTAAAGTTAGTCACACCATTGAGGTATGTTACAAGAAACATGGGTATCCACCCTATTTTAAATAAGATAATTTTGCAAGTAATCTGGTAGGAAAACGACAACATAAAGAATGAAGATACAACTTCTATCAAAGAGCAAAAATTGAATTCGGCACCTATGATTACTCTTGAACAATATCAGCATCTCCTAAATTTGTTACAAGGTACAGAATCATCAACAATACACAATGTCAATCAAGTGACTTCAAAAGGAGTCAGCTCTTGTTCCAAAGGGAGTCACTAGGTCACAAGTAACTGTAATTCACCATTGATTAATTCATTAAATATATATATATGCAAAAACATGGATATTGGACACTAGTGCCACTGATCATATTTGCTCTTCACTCAAATGTTTTGAAACAATAAGACAGATTGATCTATTGAATGTTAACCTGCCTAATGGAGGCAAAATCTTAGCTTTGTATGCAGGCACAATACATTTTTCACGATATTTTTATCTAACTGATGTGTTATATCTTCCACAATTTACTTTTAACTTGACTTCAGTATCAAGATTATGAGAAATAAAATTGATACGTACGTGAAGTATAAGATTGAGAGTCAAAAATATTACATTATCTCACTTTTTTTTCAATGCAGTACAATGGAATTATATAGGAATATAGAAATATACATTAAAACTGATTCCGTTACTAACAACAAAAAAGAAACTAATTCTAATTGTCTGTTATGGTTGTTACCCCCTCGCAAGCTTAAGGATGGAAAATATTCAACATACCAAGCTTGGAAAGGAGTACATAAAATTGACGAGGTCCTAAAGCTTTAGTAAAATATATCAACGATTTGAACTGGTGGAAATCGGAAGAAGTTGCATGAGTCCTACTTGAGTCTTTTCCCGGACAATATGACAATCAATATCTAAGTGTTTTGTTAGTTCATAAAAAACAAGATTGGCAGCAATATGAAGAGCATTTTGATTGTCACAATAGAGAATTGAAGGTCGTGCCGGAGTGATCTTCGAATTGTTGAGAAGATAAGTCAACCATTGCGTCTCAATGGTAGCAAATGCAAGTGCTCAATATTCTGCCTCAGCAAATGATCGTGATACAGTGGACTACTTTTTTGAACGCCAAGAAATAAGAGATAGGTCCTAAAAAGAGGCAATAGCCAAAGATGGATCATCAATTGTCAACACAGCCTCCCCAATTAG